CTGGCTGAGCGAGGCGCGGGAGCAATGCCGAGGGTTGCGATCCCGTTGCCGGTCCCCGGTCCGGTACGGGGGCAACACTGAGGGTTGTGTTCCGTTGCCGGACACGGAAAAAGACAAAAGACAAAAGACAAAAAAAAAAAAAAAAAATGAAACAAATATGTATTTTTAAAGTGTTTCCTGGATTTTCCTGAATTTCATTCGGTAATACTCAAATGTCTGACGAGCTCATAATGTGTTCCATTTTGAATTTAAGTGTAATCTGAAAGAAGCCTTTTTTAGATTTCTTTCTGTTTTCTCTGCTCTGAAAAGTCTAGCTCTGCTGCTCTTAGTCCTATAGTTGTGACAGAATTTTTACTTTTTATTTTTACTTTTTTTATTTTTAATTAATTTTTTTTAAAGATGACTGGTAAGGGGATCTTACCCCTTGACTTGGTGTTGTCAGCACCACACTCTCCCAAGTGAGCTAACCAGCCATCCCTATACAAGGATCCGAACCCGTGGCCTTGGTGTTATCAGCACCACACTCTCCCAAGTGAGCTACAGGCTGGCCCTGTGACAGAATTTTTAGAGGTCCTTGTGAAAAAACATATGCTGTGTGTCGTTGTTGGTTTTGGAGAGTTAACTCATAAGTTAGCGTCTCTAGGGCAGTTTCAGAATTTAGGCTTCATTCAGATTAGGAAATAATTCTTGGTTTTATGTTTCAAAAAACAGCCAAGTGAGTGTTATTCAGGTGCTGATAATCAATTCTCTTTAGTATTCCCATAACATTTTTCACTTCCTCCTCTGCAGAGCATTTCATTGTCCATTAAGGCCTCAAAATGGAGGAAGGTAGAAGAAAGATAAGTGAAACTCATATTAGTTGTGTCATTTCAGATGAGGCATGGGACTCAAGAGGACAGAATTTGTGGGGAGGGTAAAACTGCTGGTTCAAGTTAGATTTTTTTTTTATTGTTTATGGGTTTTATTTATGTATTTTCCCACTACATATAATTGAGTTTATTTTTCTTAATCTCTTAACAAAAAACCATAGCTCCTTGTCCTCAAATTAATGATCATTGAACACCTTCCACATTACTGTAGCTGGTACAATTAATGCGTTTAGTTATGCTTAAAGGTCTTAGGGTTATAGGTCGAAATTTCTTGAAAATATTGTGGCATGTTGATGATTTATGCAGTCTCACTTGGCATCTGTGTGTGGACCAGTCCTTTTAGAAAAGAATAGGATGGAATTCCTAGCCTGTGAATATTAGAGCATCTACTGCTGCATGGTGTTTTGTTATCTAAATTACTGTCCACTAAGTTAATGCTACCAAAGCTAAACCTATTGTCATCCTGCGCAGCTTTGTTCAGGGTTTTGCTTGTAGGTGACGTGTTAAAAACATGAGCCTGTGAAGTCATTCCAGTTTTTAAAATGTGGAGTTTAAAAGTAGGCCAGCTATTCTCCTTATACCTAGAGAACAGTTGATCTCATTTTCTCTTTGTTTTTAGAGTCTTTTATTCAAAACTTCAGTGTTCTCAACAGTCCCCTGAAAAGACATCTCATTGGAAGTGATTCTGCCCAGTTCCCTTCTCAGCATTTAATCACTGAAGTGACAACTGATACCTTTTGGGAAGTGGTTCATCAGAAACAGGTATGGAGTCATGAGAGAAACAAAAATCTAGCCATCTATCCCTATGAAAATAATTTCCAAAGCTGCAGTTGGTGGGGTGAGTGGCTGTTTTTGATGAACAGAAGATTTACCACAAGACAGTCTGATTGTGGGACATGAGTGCATTACATGGAGGTTTTCTAGTTGCAGAAAGCCCTTAAGAGAGCACATAATTGGAAAGATCAAAAGATGAAATTTTTCACAGTAATTTCTGCATAGGCAGCATTTTATGAATGCCTGCTATAAGGAGAAGCCCATTTCTTTTTTTTTTTGTCCTTTTTTTTTTTTTGTGAGACCGGCCGCACCGTGCTCAGCCAGTGAGCGCTGTGAGCGCACCGGTCATCCATATATAGGATCTGAACCCGCAGGCGGGAGCGCTACCACCCTCCCAGCGCCTCACCCTCCCGAGTGCTCCACGGGCTCGGCCCAGGAGAAGCCCATTTCCCACTAGCAAGTAACCGCCGTCTCCCCCTTCCCACAGGACGTTTTGCTGCTTTACTATGCACAGTGGTGTGGCTTCTGTCCATCCCTCAATCACGTCTTTATCCAGCTAGCTCGCCTCCTGCCAGTGGACACCTTCACTGTGGCAAGGTAAGGAGGCCTGTTTGGCAGCACTCTGGGCCGCGTGCCTGTCTTCTCCCTTACTTGCCTCTTAGCCATATGCTTTGCAGGGCTCTGGCCTGGGTGAGACTTGGGTGGGTGAGTGAGTTTGTTAGATTAAAGCCATGGGCAAAGCCTTGTTGAAACTGACTTTTTTTTTTTGGCGGCTGGCTGGTAAGGGGATCCAAACCCTTGACCTTCCTGATGAATTCTGAGTGTTCCTTCTGTGATGTTGAATGTGTCTAGCTCTGATAGGCTTCATAGGAGGGTCAGTGCAGTTCTGTGGGAAGAGTGCTGATCTGGTCGCCAGAATGGCCCCCAAGTGGACAGCTCCTTGGTATACTGTGGGAAGTTGCCAGCCAGTTCTGGGACCCAGAGCAAATCTCTATTTGTGAAATTAAGAGGAATTTTTGATTCCAATTAAGAGGAAAGATTGATTGATATCCATATGTTGTAGTTTTGTGATTCCATGGGTACTGTATTTGGTCTCTGGAGTAGACAAAAAAAAAATGTTAAGTAGTTTTTTTGGGGGAAAAAAGAAGGCTCAAATACAGAGTTTTTTTAGATAATAGAGTATTGGATTTGCTAGTTCCTTTGAGAGGTAGAAACTTCCCAAAGTAGAAGCAGTTGAAAAAATAATGAAAGAAAGATGAATAGATTCCACTAGAAATATGTGCAATGAGAACAAATAAGGAAAACAGACTAAAAAGAAGGGACCGTAAGTATATTTTACAGCCTTTATATTTTACCTCTTATATGAGGGGTCTTCAAAAAGTTCATGGAAATAATTGGAGACAAATTTGAGGAGTTACTATGCTGAGAGATTTTGATATATGCATATTATCTGATGTAATCCTTGGGACACTCAGTGAAGCCAGTGTGGTTTTCATTCTCTTTATTGAGGAGGAAACTGAGGCACAGAAAGACTTGGTAACTTGCACAGAGTCACACAACTGGCAAGTGAGGGAGCAGGATTCAGTCAGGCATTCATACTCCAGACTCTGAAATTAAAATGGGTTTAGAAGCAGCTTAGAGGGATTCCATTGTGAACAAAGAACATGAGCAGGTTTTTCATGTAAAAGGAGAGAGAGAGTAAATTAACAAGTAGGGAAATTATAACCTAATAAAGGTAAATTAAAACAATAACAAAGTGTCATTTACACTTAATAAATGCTTCTAAGTGACAGAATCTTGTATTGATAAAGTGAAATTGGCACAGTTATAGCTAATGGAATGAGTAAATTGGTATAACCCCTTTTGGAAAGGATGTTGGCAATATTTGCAAGAAATCACAAAAATGGTTATATATATTTGACCCAGTTAATTTCACTTCGGGGAATTAAATAGGAATTCAGAGAGGCATGGGTGCTAGTCATTATAGCATTATTTATAACCAACAGTAGAGGAATGGTTAAGTAAATTATAGTTGGGCATTGGATGGCATTTTTAGCCATTCATAATGTTTTTCATGTAATTAATTGAAAAGAATAGAGTATGAAATATAACTGCTCCTAAAAATATGTAAGCATGTAAACTAAGCCTGATTGAGAATCCCAGAAAGAAGGTACCAGTTAGCCCAGTGGATTTTTACAATATTTTTCTTTTAATTTTACAGATTGCATTTTCTTTGAAGGAAAAATCAGGAGAAAAAAGCATTTGATTATGGAATATAGAGCTCAACACCACTTGTTCAAAAACTAGAACTCTAATGTTTTAGGTAGGCCATCACAGGCAGCAGCAGGAGTGGCATTTTGTTAGTAAAATTGTGGCAAAATCATTTTCATTTGGTTATGCCATTTTTAAAAACGAATTTCATTCTTTTGGACAAACACTTGGCACTGCTCCCCCCACCCTGGTTATGTTTTCTGAAAACTTCTGTGAAGTTGATGATTCAAAACACTTCCATCTTTTGTGTGTGCTGTCCATGAACATTGGCCAAGCTGCCCTTCTGCAAGGGTGGGTGCAGCTCTTCCTTCAGGGTGCTGTCACTGCTCCGTGTCCCAGCATGTGTGTGGGAGCCTCGCCGCATGCCTAGCTCGGTGCCCACTGCTGGAGGGGCACAGAGCAGTTGCCGTTAGTGCCATAGTACGTCACTGCTCCGTGTCCCAGCATGTGTGTGGGAGCCTCGCAACATGCCTAGCTCGGTGCCCACTGCTGGAGGGGCACAGAGCAGTTGCCGTTAGTGCCATAGTAACTGAGCATAGGTTGGGTGATTAGTACCAGTGTCATTTTCTGTAGAAAATTAATCTCATATTTGCTAAGAAAATACACTGCTTTGGGCCTCCATCCAGATTTACAACATATAAAAGAGGGTATAATTTTCCATCATCAGAAGGGCTTCATGTATTTTGCACAGTGATTTCCTATTTTTTTTTCCAGAACTAATTCAGAGATTAAAATAATTGGCCAGACCCTGTTAGGTGAATGAATTACTTCTGAGGTGTCAGTGAGGCATTTTTTGGATGTTTGTTTTTTTACATGTATTACCACTCAGTGGAAAGTTTCCATGTAGTGGAGAGTTGCATGTCCTGGAAGTGTCAGTGCTCGACTTAGGCCTGGCAGTGCACTAACGGAGAAGGGGCTGGTCCATTTGGGGGGCATGGAAAATTCACCAGGTTCTTTAATTATTTGAGAAGTTTCTTTCAAGTTGGAGATTTTTGGGCTGATCTTTTATTTCTTCTGTCCCTTCCCTTTGCCAGGATTGATGTGTCTCAGAATGATCTTCCTTGGGAATTTATGGTTGATCGTCTTCCTACTGTGTTATTTTTTCCGTGTAAAAGGTAATGCTGAATTTTTTTTACAGTATTGGGCAGATGGGATTCTTTTGTTGAGGTGTGAAAATGAAATGGGTTTAAGATATAAATGATTCATTCTGACTAAACTGTTTTTCAGAAAATATGCCATTCGGGACATAGGATAAAAGGAATGTCATGTGTGTTGCTGCTTGTTTTAAGAAGTTTGTTCTTTGCAGAGTTTGTTTCCTACACGAGCATGAATGTAGCCACCGGAATTTGTTAGCTTTCATGGCCTCTGTGAACATAAGAGAATACAAAGATTGACCTGAAGGGTGGGTGGGAGGGTGTGTGTGTGTGTGTGTGTGTGTGTGTGTGTGTGTGTGTGTGTGTG